GAAATTTACTTACTTTTTTCCTGAGTTTCTGTTTCCTTATTTGTAAAATAAGAGCACTATTTTAATCCTTGCATTATGTGACAATGTGATGAATATACTGGACTTGGCTTAGAGCTTAGCATATGACTGGAGCTCTTTGCGAGAGCCTTTAGTCTTGGACAGGAGAAATGATACTTACACATAAACTTTTTTTTCCTGCTATAGGAGATAAGAAAGACACATAGCCCTATTCCATATTGTAACCCATACCATTATCTGTCCCTTTCTTGGAGAAAGAATGATAACAAAGGGAGGACAGAAGGACAACTAGGTAAGGCAAGTGACTGGCTATAGGGAAATGGATGAAATAGTAGAAGGTGTATTAGTTTTCTATTGTCACATAACAAATTACCACATATTTAGTAGCTTAAAACAACATCCATTTATGATCTCACAATTTCCGTGGGTGAGTATTCTGGGCACAGGTTAACTGGGTCTTCTGTTCTGGGTCCCACTGATCTGCAATCAAGGTTTTGGCTTGAACTGATTTCTCATTTGAGGCCTGGGGTTCTCTTCCAAGTTCATTGGTTGTTGCCAGAATTCAGTTCATTGAGGTTATAGGACCGAGACTCTTAGTTCTCAGAGGTTACCGACCATTACTTGCCATGTGGCCTTCTCTGCATGGTGACAGTTTGTTCTTCAAGGCCAGCAGGAAAGTGTCTCTTCTGCTTGTTGTCTCTTTTTAAGGCATGGGCAGGAAACGTCAGGCTCATGGGCTGTATAAGGCCACAAAATCATTTGGTCTGGTCCTGCCAAGACAACTGCAGATGGGACTCGAAATTCAATAAATCTAGAAGCTTTTTTTTCATGGCAACATAAATTTATATTCAGTGAATTATATTAAGGGAATTATGTCAAAAATGTCCAAATGGCCCTTGGCAGAAAAAAACGTTTCCCACCCCTATTTTAAGGGCTCACCTGATTAGGCCAGATACATTCAGGTTACTTATATCCCTTTTGATTAATTGGAAGTAAACTGAGTAGGGATCTTAAAATCCCTTTTGCCAGGTAATGCAACATAATTCACTAGTTCTACCTAAACTCAAGAGGAGGGGACTATACAGTATATGTACATGAGAGGAATGGAATCTTGGTGGCTATCCTAGGATTCTGCCTACCACAGAGGGATCCTTGGATGTATCCAAATAAGCAGAGGAGAAATCTTCTTGGTTCTCTTTGTATCATATTTATGAGAACAAACATTACTGGTGATACTAATCCAGCTATATTGTATGGCTTAGCCATGGTGAAATTGTTAGACAGGGAGAAAAGGGGACAGGGTGAACCTGAAGATATGGGACAGGCTTGCAATGGCAGTGGTACAGTGAGCTTATGAATGATTGGATTCAACTTTCGCTGGCTGTTGCTTAGGAAAAGAAATAGATATTTTAAAGAAGGAAAATGAGATAGTTTTCCCTGTAAGAGCTCTATTATTAGTGTCTGTCTGTCTGCGTCTGGTGGATACATAATACAAGTTAATGCTCTATAGCCGAAGGACAAAACTGAAAGCAAGGTGATTACAGAGTTTTCCTTCCCTAAGAGATAAACATTATTGTAGCCACTGATGAATGAAATGTTTACCCATTAATGCATGGCAGAAATCCATTATTGCTTCTCAGCAGATAAAGAAAAATACCAGGAAAGAGGTGAGGATTCCTAGCCCTGAAGGCTGTATTGTGAGAGCTGATTCTTCCTAGGAACTATGACTTGGCTGACCACTCTGGAACTCACAGATTAGTCTTTGCATCTGCAAATCCACAGTCCTGAGCAGCAGGCAGTTTAGCAGCCCAGAAACTCAGAGCTGGCTTCCCAGTAGGCACAGTAAGAATGTGTTTAGGGCATCAAAAAACCAGTTCACAAAAAACTGCTTTTTTCAAATAATCTGATATTTATTAAGATAATTTTGCTGAACTTCATTGCATTTATTTTACAGCATGATAATTTATCCTTTAATTTAAGATTCCCCTTTGCAAAAAGATGGAGGTGGAGGAGTGGGGACTATAATCTTTTTGGTGTTTATGGCCTTTAGAATCTGGCTTAAGCAATCACCAGGGAATTGTATACTACTGAAACTGGAGGAATCTGCCAGAGGTGACATCTTCCAGCCTGTTGCTTCTAGATAGAATCATCCCTAAACCATTTTCACAAAGAACCAGAAAATGTGCACTCCATGTTTTGTTCTGTGATATATCCCAGCACTTAGTACTGTGCCTGGGATATAATAGCTATTTAGAAAACATTCCATGAATGGATGGATGTTGCCATTTTCAGCAGTTTCTTTCTTTTTCCCAGGTGGCCCATCTCACTTCACTCCCAAAAGTTTCCAAGGAGTCATCAGATAACATTTTGTGTTTCGTAAGCTGCCTGTTGGTAAAAAATAATCCAGGGGTACTTTTCAAATACACAGATTATTAGGCCTCTCTGTTGGAATCTGGTTTAGGAAGTCTAGGCTGGAGCCCAGGAATCTGTGTTTTTGACAATTACTTCTAATGAGTCTTCTCTTTAAAGTCAATATTGAGATAAATAGCAGTAGCTCAGCTCTTACCACACAAAGATTGAAGAGCCACAGCCACTTGACCCAGTTCTAAGAGAATGAGGGGCTGTAATAGTTTTCTGGTCTACTCCCAAGTCACGTGGGCCCAGCTCTGAATCCTGATTCCTTCTTTCCTAAAGGAATGATCTGGGAGAAGAAGTACTTGGAAAACCCTCTCTTTTTGAGACTGCCCACTGAACTTCTTGCCTCATCTTTCCCCCAGGCAAGCTTTCTGTTCTGTCCCTTCTCCCAGCTGCAACTAACACATTAATTCACAGCCACCTCTTTTGGGTGGGAGTTGACCTCTGCACCCAGATTGACTTTTTAGTCAATCCTGGTCACTGAATCTGAGTGTTCCTCTAATGATGGCTAAATAAAGCCTCTGTTTTTATCACTCCCCTTTACTTTACACTTGAGAAAAGGGAAGATCTGATCCACATATGGCCCACTCTATCCTAAGGCCTCCCATACCCCATCTGAGGCCTGAAGAGGTGAACTTCTCCCTCAGCAATTCTTCCTAGGTTTTCTTATCTCCAGGACCTAGTGACTCCTGGCTGGTTCCCCCAAAACTTATAGTTTCCAAGAGAAAGATTGAAGTTTTAGAGTAGCTCAAGGGAAAAAAAAAGTTGCTGCTTTTATTCTTGGTTCTATAAAACATTTTCCTAAAATACTATCTCCTACCCAGGAAGATAATCTTGGGATCTCTAACCCTTGGGCTTGAATTCTTGGAGATTAAGCACAAAGAAAAGATAAATCTAGGTCAAAGGAAATAATCTGTTCTGTAGCTGAAGGTGAGAGAATATAACAGACTACTTATTATTATGGTTGGCTAATACAGTAGCCACCTATGGCTGTTTAAATTAATTTAATTGTTTTAAATTAAAAATTTAAAAGTACTTAGTAGCCAATGTACCATATTGAATGGCACAGTTATAGAGAGCATTTCCTCAGCACTGTTTCAGGGGCATGATGTTGCCCTTTGAACCTGTCAATGTGGTGTTTCTTTGGAAATAGGTCTTTGTTTCTATTGGTACTCTTTGTGGGTCTGATGCATTATTCTAGAAAAACACTAATGATGACTGCATTAGAACACAAAAGCAAAACCAAAAATAACTGCCATAAATACAGTAGTTGGAGGGAGGTACATTATCAAAAGGCTGCGTTCTCCCCAGTTTTCTTTTTTCTATTCCCCTTCTGCAAAAGTGTTCTTCCTTCTTTTTCATTTACCTTTCTGTCCTATCTGTAGAGTATCTTGTTCTAGGTATGGCTTCTCAGACAAAGTGAAATGGTAGACTTGACTTCAAAAAGAAAAGAATCAGAGAAAAATCAAAAATCCGTTTGGGGCACAGGAATATGCATTTGGACAGAATGCCCCCAAATCACATACCAGGAAAAAATGGAAAAGAAGCAGAAAGACACAATGAGACTGGGAGGAGCAGATGAGGCCAGGACAGGGGTCTAGTCTGGAAAGTAGGTCTGGAGGGTAAGGCAGACTGGGCCAGTGCTCACCATTCCTGAGACTGGCAGGCTGCCCAGGTGCTCAAGAGTTCCTTTGTGCAAGAATTTCCTCTTCAGAATCCTCCCTCTTAGGAGCAGCTTCTTCCATAAGAATTTGCCTTCAAGTCCATGTGACTGCCATCCTAGACTCAGTGTGTACATGAAGAAGACATAATGGGTTAATTACTGTGCTCTGGGGTAGGAGGCCTCCATCCCTGATCTCTTAGATGAGTTACAAGGACTGTGCTCCTCTCCTTACTAGCACTGTCTGTGGTTTCCCTCTCTTAACACCCGTACCCATGTAATGGGATCTTTAATGCTTGTGTTCTCCCCTGGGCGAAACTAGGGAGACTGAGTAATGCTTTGAAACATGGCAGGCAATGAGGTTGGCAGGTCGAAGGTAGGATAAGGTTAAATAGTGAGGATTGGGGGCCAAGGATCACAGGAGACAGAAAGCAGGGCAAGCAAGAGGCAAATTCAGGTGGGCATCAGGGCAGGTGTGTAGAATTATATACAGTTCTGCAGCCCTGCAGCCAGAAGACTGGAGATGGGGCAACCTTTTGGACTCATCCCAGAGGCTTTTCTCTGCTTTCTTGGGAGGAAGGACTCCCCCACCCCCACACCTAAGCATGGCTGGCCAGGGGCTTGTTGAGGTTGATCACAGCACAAAGTAAAAGTGTGGCTAGAAAGGTAGCTGGTTGGTGTTCAGGGGTTTTCCATCCCTTTGATGGGGGCAAAAGTTGTTCCTCTCTGTATTGTAAACTTCAAACCTTTCTTCAGTCTTGAATGAGTTCCCAATGTGAATGCAGCAATCGGGACTTCCACTCTACCTGGTCTCCGCTCCTGCTCCCTCCCCACCCCAGCCTCTGCCAAATGCACAGTTTAAAGCTACTGGCATATAATGCTTCATTTCCCTTTTTGTCTCTTGCAGCCGTCTCCAACCTGGACATTGAGAGTAAGCTGAGCGTGTACTACCGTGCACCATGGCACCAGCAGAGAAACATCTTCCTCCCAGCCACGAGGCCACCCTGCGTGGAGGAGCTGCACCGCCATGCCCGGCAGAGCCTGCAAGCCCTGCGCAGAGGTGATTAATCCCAGGCTTGGAGGGCTTTTCAAGGAGACAACTCAGAGAATGTCCCATTCAGTTGTTCTTTCTCACATTACTCACAACACTTCCTTTTGTTATATCAAGTACTTTGAAACACTCCCTTTTTTAACCTGAAATGAAGTCATACATAATATAAACTAACTCTACACATAATTAAAAGTAGCATTATAGTCTAAACATGATAATAAACAGAATTTAAAAGGAAAAATATTTATTGTGACAATAATACTTGCAATATGCAAATGCCTGGGCATGACTAAACTAATACACATAATGAAGCAGTGTTTGCACCTATCAAAGTAGCTTTGAATTAAGTAAAAACAATCGCAAGTCATTCTGAAATAAAAAATATCGGGAAATGAAGGGGTTGAGGGGTTACAGGACATGCCATAAAAACTGGTACATTCAGAGTACATGAAGCATGAGCCAAAAAACACCCTTGGGTTATAACTAAAAGGGATTTAGGTTTGATTCAGCAATAGGATACAGACTTTCCCTTTACAAGAAGTTCTGGTGGGATATTTGTGACTTGGGGCACTGTTTCATTGTTTGGGACTGTCCTGTACATTGTAGGATGGCTGTCATCCTTGGCTCCTGTCCAGTCATCAAACAACCAGACCTCTCCCATAGAGCTCTTCTGTTCCTGTTGAGAACCAGTGATCTGGTCCATTCTACAGTGTAGCACGTGGAGGCCTAGAGATGTCAGGAAACTTGCTCAGGGGCACATATAGCAGGTTAGGTATAGTGCCAGGACCACACCTGGGCCTCCAGCCCTCCAGCCAGAGCTCTCTCCATCTTAACTATATACCGTGTTCTAGGGAAATCACTAAATATTTCTATTTTGGTTTCTCACAGTCCTGAGAAAGCTGGAGTTAGGCACATAGCAGTCAAGGTAGAAGATGCAGCCCTTTCTTGCACTGGTTACTTTTCAGTGTCTTAAACCCATTCTAATTAGGACAAGGAGATTACAAACTGGCATCATTCTCTTAGAGACCCCTAACTTGGGTATCAGGAGTTGGCATATCAGCATTTTGGCCTTTAGATTTTTGCTATGGAGAAGATAGTGCCTGTACATTCAATGTCTTTGTTCTAAATTCTTTATGCTTCTTTAAGAAACTGTATTTTGCAAAAGTATGAATATTCAAGTAAAATATTTTAGTCACTATCAAGATGGGGCAATAAATTGACAAATGTTGGTTTCAGCTTATTTTCTCCACATATGTATGACTTCTCCCTTTTCTCCAATCCCTAGTCACTTTCCCCTTTAATAAAAGAGCTAACCTACTGATATCCCTAACACAATTGTTTCTTAAAATTCCCCTTGGTTATTAGTAATGGACACTAGGATACTTACAATGAAGAATGATGATCAGTATCCTCTAGAAAGAAGTATCTCTGGCATTTTTATTATTCCTGTGACATTAGACATGGCTTAATAGACATCCTTTACCAAATTTTTAGCAAGCCACCTTCTGGAAATCTTCCCTAACACTCTCGCCATTCCTTTGCAGCTTGGATTAGAAACCCTTCTCATAATATCCTGTGCATCTTCCCATCATGCCACTTATAAGCTTATATTATAACTAAAAACCTATAGGCCTATCTTCCACCATTAATCCATGAGCAACTCAAGGGAAAGGATATCTTATTAATTTTTTTATTCCAAGCATTTAGCATGAGTGTGACATATAATAAATAGGTCCTCAAATGAATGTTTGTGCAACTGAATGAAATTCTGCAGAAAACTGGTTGAGCATTGAGGGCACAGAATGAAAACAGAGAAATGCTTCATTCTCACTAAATGCTTTCTTTGATTCCATCGTTAGAGAGCTTGAGTAACGTTAGCCCTTCAGCCATAATTAGTTTTATCCTTTTATTATTATTCATAAGTCATTTTTATTCATATTTTTTCCAGATTCATCCAGATAACTTTAAGCTATTCATAGCTATCACATTTCACTGTGCTGTCAGGTTTGGGCATAATGGCATAACTGAGAAACAGCAAATGCCAATATCAGTTTTCTGTGAACTTCCTCCTAGGGGCTGAGAGAGGGATGTGGGGGCTCATGGGGTTTGGAAGGAAGACCCTGGAGCTGAATCTTGCCTCCACAGACTGGCTGGCTTTGTGGTTGTCTCAATAGCAAATCTTGGGTGTGGTGATTTTAATAGCACTGCAGAGAGCCATAAACAGGAATTATAGGCATCGTAGAATTAAAAACATGCAATGTAGAATTAAAATTAGAAAGTGGCTTTTCTTTTTCTTTTTCTTACCTTGTCCAAAAAACACAGCGGCTTAGCAGTGTGATCAACAGAATAGTACTTCTGCCATCTGGTGGCCATGACTAATTCTGACCTATCAGACAATGGCCTTGCTCAGCAAATGCTGTAGTGAGTTTGCCTGTGGGTTATCTATTTGGACAGATGAAATAGCCTGGCTTTCACCAGGGGGGATAGGATACTGAAGCTTTGAGGGAGCTGGGATATTAAGATCAGAACCTATAAATTGGCTGCATTCAAGATCTGTTCAATATAAATCTGGGATTCAGACTGCAATAATGTTATCGTCCCTGCCCACAAAGAATTCCCGATCTAATGAGGATGATAAGTAACCAGGTAATTTCAACATTGTGATATGAGGCTCAGAGAAAAGGCAATAGTTATGCCATGGAGCTTCAGGGAAGGCTCCCTGGAAGAAGTAGCACCTTAATGGATTTCAAATTATTTAGAATCTGATTCCTCTTTTTCCTCCATTTCTTAGCAATTCTTTATACTCAGAGACAATAATGGCTTTAAGTGATGCCATTGTTTATTTTTGTAAGATAGGGAGAGATTACTCGATGGCTAAACAGAGATATTTATATTTAATACTTCCTTTCTTTTCAAGTTGCAGGGCTAAGGTCTAAGTTCCATTTACCTACGGTAACAAGAACCAAGAGTTGACTGTAATGTCAGTCTCTAGTAGACAAATGTTCTCCCCACCTCACCACCAGAGAAGAGCATTATCAGAGAGCAATTAATCTAGCCTGCTTATTCCCTGCCTAGGGTGAATGAAAGAGATCTATTTAAGAAAGTGTAGGAGGGAAGCAATTGAATGGGAAATTAAGTTGCTATCTTCCTCCAGACTCCTCCCTTCCTTTCACCTTTTCCTAACCATTGACACCTGTATTCTATTCTACATTATGAATTTAAGACTGCCAAAGCTTTTCCTTGCACTGCTTATTTAGTAAAAAGCCCACTATTTGCTTGTAGAGAAAAATGAGGGTGGTATTGGAGTAGGCACTTTAACAAAAAGACATTTATCTAAAAAATGTAGTTAGTTCTGTTTCCTGATAAACATTGGCTATGAAGGCAGTTTAGCACTACCTACATGGTGCTGAATACTTTTTCTGTTTGCTAACTGGAGTCAACATTTGACTAAAGAATCTCTAGAAAAGTAAGATGAGGAATACTACCATGTTTTCCTGCCACAAACAAAGTCGGTAGTTTAGGCAGAGAAACCCACAGATAGCCAAATCAGACATGGAAAGAAATCTGAAAGCTTGAGAGTGCACGGGTACATTTAGTGTAGTACACTGCCTACAACAAAGAGGAAATTGGGCTTGCATTAACGAAGCGGGTGGAAACAGGCAACAGGACCTAGAGAAGGTCCCACCAATTGGTGAAAAAGATAGGGGTATGGAGTACACTCTAATACTAAAAGCATTAGTATTAGACTTTGACCAAAGCATTCATTCATTCTTCCTTTCAGTCACTCAACAAACATTTATTTAGAAGACACTACCTCTCAACCTAAATAAAATGTAGTCTCTGCTTTCCTCCTAGTGATAGAGGCAGGCATATAAAGATATCTTGATTTCTATTAATACAGTGATAGAGATGAAATGGGCACTGGGCATTATCAGGCCTTTGGAAAAAGGGCTTACTTCTGATGTCACCTGAGAGGATCAGTGTAGTTAGTTCTGTTTCCTAACATGAGTAAATAAAATGAGTAATGTCTTATGATCTGTGAAATATTCTATATTCTCTTATCAATATTCAAAGAATTAGAATGTGATAAAATATAATTATAATCCAATACTACACAAACCTAAGCAATCTTGCTCTGATGAGTGAGAAAGCATGTTAGGGCCTTACAGTGCCTATAGGTCAAATAGTGGTAAAGGACAGGGGCCTTGGGCCAAGTGTGTACCACTGTTGCTCAGCAGTGACTTAGCCTCCCTTGAGCCCGTTTAGGCATCTGCAGAAGAGGAGTGTGTTAGAACCTACTGTTGAGATGCATAGAAGAGTTTTAGCAAAGTGTCTTTGGCATAGGGCAGTGGTCGGCAAACTCATTAGTCAACAGAGCCAAATATCAACAGTACAACGATTGAAATTTCTTTTGGGAGCCAAAAATTTTAAACTTAAATTATATAGGTAAGTACATGGTTATTAACTTAATTAGGGTACTCCTAAGCTGGCCTTTGCTAAAAACTCAAGGGGCCAAAGAGCCACATGTGGCTTGCGACCACTGGCATAGGGCGATTGCTCAGTAAATATTGGGCATCATAGTTATAATTATTGATGTATTAAGAATGGTGATTTTAAATAATACAAGAGATGATTAAGAAAGATGCTGTACCAATTTGTGTCTTCATCATGATGTAGTCATAAGATTTCAGGTCCTGGACATGAGTATGTTTTAGGCAGGTGAAATGGCATTTGGTGTGGCCAGTGTGTTGGGTTAGGCAAGTTTTGGGGCTTTTTAAACACCCAGAAAGCTAAATGGTTCTCTTAGTGTCTCAGTGATTCTTGATATGAAGTCAGCATCACTTCATCCCACATAGGGAAATGTCTTGGCTTTTCCCAGTGGTAGCTTTATTCCGAAATCAGACAACTGTTGTCATTGAGAGTTCTTTACTTTCCCTAGAAGCCCAGGGTTTCAGAGCCCTCAGAGTATTATGGGTGACAGGAATCAGATGACTGAAACTGTGTGCTGGTCACAGGCTCTCTATACAAGCAAACAAAAGTAATAAAGTAAATAACAACAACAACAAAAGCCCTGATACATAGTTCTCACCAATGTCTGTGATGTAAATTCTCATGCTGTGACCTATTTCAAGCTACCAACAGTTTAAAAACTAGCTTGTAAAATTCCTGAACATACAGCACTCAGCACCCCTGAGCCTGTATGAGCTGGTCCAGCACCTTTGGGATGGTTGTGAGCAAATTTATCCCTGCACTCCCTGGGTGGCTCTGGCATGTCTGTGCCACCACATCTTCCGCCATTGTTCTGGGTATTTTTTACTCATATTGTTTTGAAATGAGGCACATTTAGAAATATGCTGCTTTTTCCAAACTCAAGATTGAGCCATCTTGTATGAAGATGATGAGATGGATCCATTGAAATGTAAGTGTATAACTTCATATTAATATGAAGTGGAAGTTTAGTTCAGGACCATTCTGAAAATCATATTTCGTATACAAATGAACTAACTTATTGACTCACCTTTCTCCAGCCCTTTGCTCAACCTTCCATCAAGACAAGAGACACTGAAAACACCAAGTATATAAGCCTAATAAATTGACACAGACAACAGGGGGGTGGAGGCATGAATGTGAGGTGGGGGGTAATGGGGGAATAAGGACACATATGTAATACCTTGATCAATAAAGAAATTTAAAAAAGAAAAGTTTAATGTCAAAACAAAAAAAATAAATAAAATGCCAAGTATGTTTATGCATTACTGCTTTTTCTGCCCCTAGAACATCGGAGCCGGAATGATCGCCGGGAGCAGAGAGCTGCTGTGCCCCTTTCTGTAGCTGTTCCTCCACTGCCAGCCTACCCCCCAGCTCACAGCCAGAGGAGGCGTGAAGTTAAGGATCGTCACTTCTTAACGGTGAGCTTTGTGGCCAGCTGGTAGCCCTGTCCTTGCTCATCAGGAAGTAGGAGTAGGTTTTAGGAATTAGTTTCCTTCCCATCGAAGGAGACTGGGCTGTCTGAGAGAGTGAATCATGTGCATTTGAAAACAACTTAATTTTCCCTCTTTCATTTCTGAAAATAATGCTTTTCTTTATAGAGTGGGGATACAGATATATATATATTTCAGTTACCTGGTTATATAATGCAGTAAAGCAGTAACAGTTAAGGAATCTAATTATCAGAGGGAAATTTTACTTCAAATCCTTCTTCTACACACAAACTGAAAGATTTAGGGCAGGTTACTTACCTTAATTGCCTTCAGTTCCCTTGTCTGTACCATGAGGATATTAAATATACCTAGATTATAGTGTTTGAGGGTTAAATGAGACAAGGCATGAAAATAACTTAGCACAGTGCCTGGCACAGAGTAAGACCTCAATAAATGTTAACTATTAATACTATAACCACCACTATTATTCCTAGACAAGTGAGAGAGTTTGGCTGACTCGATGGGATGAGCTGGGAGAGAACTTAAATGATGTGTTAATTTTCCATTTGTGCACAGTTCATTTCATCATTTCATGTTTTCCCCATTCTATAAAAGAGGCTAGTTCTTCAGAGTAGCCAATTACCAGAGTGATGTCATCACCAATGGTGATTTCAACCTTGCCTCGATGGCTGTGGCTGTAACTTAGCCCAACCCCTAAGTATAGATCACAGATGAAGCTGAGCACAGCTCAGAACATCTGCATTCTCCTACAGACTATCAGCACCACTGCACAAACCATCAGCCCAGATGTGCTTTCTGGGGCGTCAGTGGGGCCAACTTTGTGCCTCTGAGTAGGACATAATTGCCATGAGGGGTTATGGTTTCTGTGACCAAATCAGCCCATTCTGCCTGCCCAAATGGCTGGACCCCTGCTCTCTTGTCATTTTAGTTTGAGGCCCAAAATCTAAAGAAGTTACAAGAGTGTGGTTACATAGTGAGATTTTTATTTGAATTAAATTTATGTGTATAAACCCTGCACCCTTATGGCTTTTACCATATGCAAAATAGATGCAAATTATTTGTGTCAGATGATGCCAAACATCCAGAAGAGCAGACTTCACCTGAATGAGTCTGTGTGATAAGACATATCCAGATAAAACTGAGTGATATTGGACAATACATAGACATATTTCCTACTTGTGGCTGGACAGTAAGCTTCATGTCCTTCAGACTCATTGAATGTCTACTGAATGTCATGTCACCCTCACTACATTGCTGCAATGCAGACCAGGAGTAAGAAAAGAAGGTAAGAGCCTCTTAGAGTTCTCTAGGTCTTTTTATAGAATAGATACACATGCTAGTGATTTGTCATAAAAGCCCCTTCTCAACAAAAGCTCATATTAAGCTCAGCTCTGCTTGCTGAAATATTTGCTTTTAATGAGGCATTTTCTGCAATAAATGCTAAAAATATTTTCCCCATTCATTATATATGTTTTGTGGCTCATTAAGTTGGTTTTCAGGGGGGAGGGGAGAGAGGAATGTTGAGCATTTATAGAAATGACCTAAAAATATTACCCTTAGTCATATTCTGCATAATTTTTAATAATGTCTAAATATCAAAGTAAGACTACAGGAAAAGGCTTAAAATAATGAATAGAAATGAGGGTATTTACCCAACACACATCAATAAGCCTGTAGATCATACTTATGTAAACTCCAGAAAATTTACTCATCTCATATTTTAATACTTAGTATTTAAGTAAGTTGGGGAAACTTAAAGTGTTTCATTTGTTCAATTGAATTTAAGGTACCAGGATCATTGGAAGATTTTCCATTCATGTTATATCCCTCATATAATACTTGGAGCTGACTCAGAATAGAAAATGATTCTATGCAATTGGCTTACAGAACTGTATATTATTGTAATGGAAAAAGCTGCAGGTATAAGGACAAGAAATTTGCAGCCAAGTTGTTAGATACACATTTTCTTATATAACAAATTGCTTGATAGACCTTTTCTCTTTTAAAAATAATATATTTTATTGACTTTTTACAGAGAGGAAGAGAGAGGGATAGAGAGTTAGAAACATCGATGATAGGGAATCATCGATCAGCTGCCTCCTGCAAACCCCCCACCGGGGATGTGCTCGCAACCGAGGTACATGCCCTTGACCGGAATCAAACCTGGGACCCTTCAGTCCGCAGGCCAATGCTCTATCCACTGAGCCAAACCAGTTTCGGCGATAGACCTTTTCTTAGACAGCAAGTCTCCTTTCAACTATAAGACTTTAGGTTGGTCGTTTTTCCTCCTTTAAAAAAAACATTCATAATGAGATTATGATATACAATATTCCACAGCTCTGCCCTGGACTTGAATACCAGCTCTACCATTTACTAGCTGTGTGACCTAAGACAAGTGCATCATTTCAGTGCCTCAGGGATAATGTAAATAATACCTCATAAGTTTGGAACAAGAATGTGTTTATTCATGTCAACAGTGCCTGACATATAATAAGCAATCAATATGTAGTAAACATCATTGTTATTATTATTAGCCAATCAAATCTCTGACGTATCACTAATATAGTAATAATATTATAGGTCTAACTAGGTTTAAGTCCTAGCTCTACAACTTTTTGATTGTGTGATTTGGAAGATTTTATTATATCTTTCTGAGTCCCAGTTTCTTTATCTGCAAAATGGGGATAATAACTTCAGTTTTACAAGGTTGTTAAGAAGGCTTAATACAATCTTATACAAATATGTTTAAATTGTGTGTGTGGGTGTGAAAGTATCAGCACAGTGCCTAAAATACATGAATATCTGAATCTATATTCATAATCACAATAAAACTCTTACCATAAAATGAAAAGCCTATAATGTATACTCATATATAAGACTGGAGGAAGTAAAAGTTATCTCATCTTTTCTACAGGGCAATTTCCTAATACTTGTCAACACTATTATAGATTCATATCTTTTGATCTAGCAATTCTATGTCTAGGAATTTATCCCAAGCCAATAACAAGAGTGATGCAAACATTTAATCACTAGGGTGTTTTCAAAATGCTATCTACAATAAGGAAAATAATTACAAATATCCTAAAAGTTCACCAGTAGAGACTTACTTTATTGAATTCTGATATATGCATAGGTAAATATACAATATAAAAATGTATTATAGAAGAATATATGACATGAAATATGTTTATCATCAGGGATTTTTAAACAGTGCATAGTATGAACTCAAAAATATCTATGAGTATATATGTGAGTATGTATACACACATGCAGAGGAAAAAGGTTGAAAGGCCAAACACTATATACCATGTTTCCCTAACTGTATGATGAGGTACTCCAGGCACTATAGTGAAATATAAGGGTGCCTTGGGTTATTTAAATTTTTCAAGGGACATGGTGTCATTTGTGTAGTGACATTTGGTGATGGCTCGAAAGTAGCTGCATAGCTCCTATAAGTGGAAAGAGGAGAAACTTAGTTTCTTGACATTTGATTTCTATCAAAAATTCTCCAAGAGAAATTCACAGGAAACTGACCATCCAATTTACCTTAAAACCCTCTGTCAGTTGAAAATTCAAGGGGTGTCTTCTAATTAAAGCCCATTTTGTAGTCCTCCCTCATCAAGGATGGCGAAGGAGGTGATTTCAGGCTCAAATGGATTCCCAGAGGAGTACTTCAAAGTCCAGATAATCCCAATGCTCTATAAATTATTTCAGATAATTAAAAAGCGTGGTACATTTATACCATGGAATACTATGCAACAGTAAAAAGGATATCTTGCCCTTTGAGACAGCATGGAGAGACCTGGATAGTATTATGCTGAGCAAAATAAGCCAGTCAGAGAAAGACTAGTGTCACATGATCTCATTCATATGTGGAATCTAATGAACAAGATAGATCCAGAGATATAGAAGCACAGAACAGACTGTGGAATCTCAGAGTGGGGGTGGGTGGGTGGATGGGAAGAGATCAACCAAAAACTTGTATGCATAATGCATAAACTGTGGCAGCCAATAGGGTGGTGAAGACCTGGGGTGAGGGACAGGGGCAGGCCAGAAGGAGCACATGGGGGTAAAAAGGGGACATACAGTATGTAATGCTATCAACAATAAAGATTTAATCTAAAAAAAAAAAAGAAAATGAAGTAGAATGTTCCCATTTCTTACTTAATGGGGAAACAGGCATTTTCATTAAAATCTGGAACAAGGCAAGGATGCTCACTATCTCTGCTGCTAATTAGCATTATGTTAATCACTGCAACTAGACAAAATAAATCAATTGCATAAGAATTGGTAAAGAAATAAACCTATATCTAGTTGCATATATGATACTATATCAGAAAAATCCTAGAGAATCAATGATAAAGCTGACTCAAACAAAAGAATTCAGCAAGTTAGTAGGCTATAAATGCAGAAAGCAATACCCTTCATTTGCACAAATAATAGACAACTAGAAGACCTAGTGGTAGGGAAAACTACATTTTCAGCAATAACAAAGATTAAATACTTAGGAATTTATTTACCAGAAATATATAAAACGTATCTGAAAAAACACTTTAAAGCATTCTTAAAAGACACAAGATTATATTTTCTCAAATGGGAGGATGTTCTCTGTTCTTGGAGAGAATGATTAATGACTCAGCATTATAAGCAAGTCAGTTCTCTCTAAGTTAATTTATAAATTTAACACAATCCCCATAAATTTACCAAAAAGGCTTTTTAAAAAAATGGAGTTAGACCCGCTGATACAAAAGGTTTTATGAAGAAACAAATATAAAGAATAGCTAAAAAAACACTGAAAAAGTAAACCTACAAAGGACAACTAGAACGCCAGACATTAAAATATTTTTAAAGCCTTTATAATTACAGTAATGAATGTGGTAGGGAAGAAATTAGCTAACCTAAGTAACTTAAGAAATAATACTTTTGTTGTGTTTTAACACAAATATTTATTGATGGGTTGATGAATA